TCCTTCCCTTCCTTCCCTTCCTTCCCTCCCTCCCTCATATAACATAGGCTTGTGCCATTTGCTCTCCCCTCATGGCCCTCAGGAGAGCCCCGGTGAAGCCTTCTCCTCCTCAGCTCACCCACAGAACTGCCTGCCACTTTGCTGGGGGGAGGTGGAACAAAGGGAGCCACAGACTGTGAGGAAAACTGCACCCCCACTCCTCATTCTGGCTTGTCCCCAAGGGCCCCTCCCTCGAGGAAGTGGGCTCACCTGTTGACCACCGGCATCCCCCAGCCAGCCTACCTTGCCCGCAGGCATCTAAGTCACTCCCTGAGCCTTCCCTCAATGCCAACTGCTGTTAAGAAATTTAAAATTTCGGTCTTGGTTCCAAAGCAGCCAATCACTACTCAACCATCAGGCCTTGCCGCCAGATGGGGCCAGAGGGATCCAGAGTGTGCAGGGGCCAGAGGGAGGTAGGAAAGAAGTTGGGGATATACCTATGCTGAGCACATGACCTGGGCTGACTGCAGCAGCACAGCAATACGGAAGCAGCCACAAATTTCCCAAATTTAAATCCCATAAGAGTCATGGGTCCCAGATTTTGGATGTATTCTCTAGGTTAGCCCATCTGAGGTACCTTGGCTCAAAAAGCGTTGCTCTATGTCACACTGTTTTGCCCAGTTAAAGGTTACAGACATGAGAGTTTTAGTAGTATATAGATGTTGCAAGATTTAGGAAGCTACAACATTTCTCATTATACATCTTCGTAATGTTCAGTATCTGCATCCAAAAATGGCAACAGTGCTTCAGATCCAATAATGGCATCTTGCTATATCTGTTGGCAGCCCCATAGCAGAGCTGCAGTTTTTTGGCTTGCATAGGAGCTATGTGGGCTCAGGAATACACATATATGTTTCAGTTAAAGAAGTTTAAAGTTTAAAGGACATGGTAATAAGGCAGTGACAGAGGGCTGCATCTTGTTGCCACCTCTGCAATGCTTCCTGAACTCAAACACTTTCTTGAGCAACTCTGCCTGCTTTGGATGAAAGTATTGCACATAGTTATCACTCATCACAGAACGAATGCTGAACTCAAGAGCTCTGAATTAGCTACAGCAGAACTGATAGAGCAGCATGTCTTGAAAAATGCATGCGGAAAAATTAAGCAGGATGGGAGCTGAATTTCCCTAATCCTTTCACAAGTTTTAAAAATACTTTCCTATTTTTAAGAGTTTTGTGAAATATTCAAAAGGCTGAAAGATTGTTTATAGGACCAAATGGCTTTCCCAATGCCCCAGAAAGTAGATTAACATCTCCACTTCTCCTATACCGCAGCAAGATGGAAAATTAAAGTATCTTTAGTCATATGTACACAGAGAATCACTATGGGTTGCATGCATCAACATGCTTCAGGCTGTTTCATCACCAGCTCTCATGAAACAGAAAATATTCCCACACTCCCAAAACTCTTGACAAATCTTATGGCTCTGCTGCACACATTAATAACCCATTAAATTGCCTTCCTAGGTGGCCTTGTATGTGTTATATTTTTAAATATGCCCCCAGCACTTCACTCAAAAGCCAAGTGCAGACTTCAACCTAGGCTTCACTCTTGCCTTAAAAGTAAGTGATTGTGGCATTGCGAATGGGAGTTCTGCACTTGGCTTCATATCCTTGATGATTCATGCAATTGACTAAGGTGGCATTTAGCACGTGTTAATTTTTCTGGGTATTCAAATCATCAGGTGTCAAACAGGAGAATCCAATGCATCCCACTCAAAAGGGAGGTAAGAAATAGGGATCATGCACAATAAAATCCTTCAGATATTTTTTTTTTAGTGGAGGGCACAGAGAGATATCAGTTTCAATGATAAATTATTTTTGTTTAGTAACAGCAGGTTGAGGAAGTGGCATTAATAAAATAACTATGCACCACAAGATTTCTGGATTCTGTTAACAGGTTACTCAATGTTATTATTTCAGTTGGAGATGAAAAAAAATTGCAACAGCAATACATCACAATGCAAAGATGATGCTTGGACAAGTCTATGCTACTGTTGTTCTTCTGACCCTCATGCACACTGACAAAAGTCAATCAGGAGATAACTTGCCAATTGTTCTAGGGAACACCTTCATTCATGGCACTGATTCTTTAATGAGACGTATGAGGATTATCCTCATTGTATAACGTTTTTCCCAAGGATTCGGAATGTTAGAAAGGAAAAAAGCAATGGAGAAAAATCTATTAACATTGCTATGTCTTGTGTCATTAAATACACACTTTTCCTAGCTGTCACTGAACAGTAATCTTTGTCTGGGGCAGCATTTCACATTCTGTTCTTATTCTCAGCCTTTGGGCATTTTAGGAGCAAAAGCCATACATACAGTTTTTAAACATTTTTCTTTTTTTATTATGAGTTTTATTAAAGATTACAAATAGGAAAAGTTAAAAAAAAACTAAAACAACCTAAAAAATATATAGGATTAAAAAGAATAAAAAGTGTAAAAAAGATAATTGTATAAAGAAGTAACTTCCCCCTTCATCACAAGTATAAACGATTTTAGTAGCTTATCACCATCTCTTCAACTACAACAAATACTCTGTTCATCCCATATCACAGCTCTTACCTATAAGCAAAACCCAAAAGCTCATCATTCATTCCATATCAGCAAAAGCCCATTAAGGGCTACCAGAAATAATCACATAACCAACTCTTAAATTACTTCCCTCTACTTTTAACAATCTTTGTTTTTAATCCCTTCAAATAATCTCTTAGAACTTGATTTGGGGAAAGCTTGATCAGGAGTTTTTCGGTCAGAATTTATTGAGAAATATTATTTTGTGATTATGTCTAAAAATAGTCTTCCTCAGATTTCTTTATTTTCCCAAATATCCAAGTTGATTGGTCTGTAGTTTTCTGGGTTCACTTTTCTCCTGTTTTAAAATATTAGGATAACACTGGCTCTTCTCTAGTCTTCTGGCACTTCCCCTGCATTCCTGGAACTCTCGAAGATTACACTCAGTAGCTCTGAGATGACAACTGCCAGTTGCTTTAACAATTTCTTATTTACTAACCAAACCTCATGAGCAGAGACTGTGAGAAGCACAGGGAGGGGAGAAGCTCAGTGTAAGAAGCTCATAATTCTTATTAGAGGTAACCACTTGAAAAAGCTTCAGAAATCTTGAAATCAGGTTACACCAAGAGACAAGTCACTCAAGATCTCTTCCAGCAGAAAAAAAATACTTGAGATTTTAAATTGAGCAAAATTATGGGAATATACCCATAATCTTTACAATAAGAACTCTTAAAAACAACTCTTTATATAGAAGTTTCCAACCAAGGATGATATACTGCATTCAAGAGCTCTGAATTGATACAGCAACACATGACTTGTAAAGTGCACGATGAATAATAAAGTGGGATAAATAAGATTTCCTAATCTTTTCCTGTGCTTTGAAAAGTAGTTGTTCCATATTATTTACTTTTGTGAAACAAATGGTTGAAAGCTTGGTTATAGGACTAAGTGGGAAAGTTCTCCAGTGCCCGAGACAATGGATAATATATCTCCAGTTCTGCTATATTGCAGCAATGTGGCAAATTAAGGTGTGTCAAGTGAAATGTACAGAGAGAATCACTATGGGTTGCATGTATTGATGCTTGCATCCAGTTGCATG